AAAATCAGACTCTGGGGCCGGCCCGGTGGCGCACTGCTACAGTGCGCCGCTTGGGAGCGCGGCGGCGCTCCCGCTGAGGGTTCGGATCCCACATACAGACCGGTTCCCACTCACTGGCTGAGCGAGGGGCGGGCGCAGCACCGAGGGTTGCGATCCCGTTGCCGGTCCCGGTCCGGTACGGGCGCGACACTGAGGGTTGCGGTCCGTTGCCGGACACGAAAAAAAAAACAAAAACACATTTTTGTTCAAACAGGGTATTATCACCTCTTCTCAAAGAGAATACCCAGCATCTACACAAACACACACAAAAATACTGTACAATTGCTTATGTAATCTCCCTATAAGGCTATTAGCTACCTAAGGGTTCCACTGTACTTTCAAATTGCCAAACACATGGCAAATGTTCAATAACCTTACGTTAAATGAAAAATGCAAAAAGGTACCTCTGTTTTTGTCTTCACTTTAGATGGTGTGGAGACTGCAGAAGATGTTTTTAATTCATCCTTTAATTGTGAGATCTTTTCTCCAAGCTCTTTCAATGTCTTCATTATATTTGCTCTTTCTTCTGGTTTCATGTTCTTGTTTTTTTCTAGCTTGGATATTAGCATCTACAAGTAAACAGAACAAAATAAAATTATGCTTAGTAAACTTTAATATAAATAAGGCTTTTTAAGTTTTACTATTATAAACATCTTTGTAAAATCAATTCTATACATCAATTCCAACATGCAAATAATGAGCTCTTGTCTTACCTTTTGGCATTCTATTTGTTTTTCTAACACTTCTTGCCTCTTTTTCCTCATATCTTGTTGTAGTTTCATTGCTTCCTATATGAATAGGTAAAAATGAAATGAATAATAGATAACAAAATCTGCCAACAATGTATGAAGCTACTATATTCTCAACTCATTTCTTCCAGGTCAACCCTAAAGACAAATTTTCTTCCTAATCACAAAACAGCTGAAACCAGAAATAAAATCTTTGAATATATTTTCCCCAACACTTCCAATTTAATAAAGTTTAAATTTACAACTGTACTTAAAAAAACATTTAAAATATTGTACACAAATGAGCTACATCTATGAGGCTTATTGACTTGAATGATCTTAATGTCATTATGAAAAAAGAAAAGAAGAAAGCTGTTTTCACCTGCCAATGTAATACTCCAAATCTTTATTTTTAAATTCTAAAGTTTAAGAATGTGAGATGCAGCTTCAGGTTTAGAAATGATAGCAAAATCTATGGATTTCCGCAGGAAAATTTTGCCACCCACCCTCCTGTTAATTATCTCTAATTATTATACTGAGATAGTACATATAAATATCTATTTTACTTGAAAAATTCTGTGAACTTAAACTGACGATGAAACTTGGAACTGAATCATATGAATAGTAACTACATAAATGTTCTACGTTATGTGAAACATCATCTAACTCATAAAATCAAGAAGAAATTAAGAAAGAAAATAAATAGTGAAATAAATGTGTTTACTTCTCTCTCGGAGGAAAAAAACATGACATATAAAAAAATTTTATTCCTTGTACTTGATTGGCCACTCAAAGGCAATAGTGAAACATTTTCTCTGTTTTTTCATCTTTTTTTGAAGTGTACATTAAATAGAGAAGCTAATAAATAAGCAATATGATGTAGTTCCATAACAACATGAATTGATCTAAAGGTGTTAACATAATCACTTAAGAATTCAATGGGTTCCTACCTCCGTAAGGCAAGAAGAATCAATATTATTACCTGTTTTTTTTTAAGAACTTCTTGAACATCATGAGATTTAGCCCCTGAACAAAGTTTTGAAGATGTCTTTAAGTTTGAGGAGCTATAAATCATTTTTGGATGGCCTGGAGTTGAAAATATCTTTAAAAAAAAAAAAAAAAAAAAAGGAACACACAAATAAGATTAAATGAACTCTTAAAAATGTTTAAAACAATTGTTTTAGAAAAACTGCATAATTTCTACTCTTTAGGAGCTAAAACTTTTTTTTACATTTAAAAACTTCTTTTATAAAAATCAGTTCTTTATAAATTTGTCATTCAAAAGTCAAAAACAAAAATTATTTTTTAGCAATAACATTTTGTTTCTGAATGTAACCCCATATTTTTCTTCTCTTTAAACTATATATATATATATATATATATATATATATATATATTTTGTGTGTGTGTGTGACCAGTAAGGGGATCGCAACCCTTGGCTTTGTGTCGCCTGCACAGCGCTCAGCCAGTGAGCACACCAGCCATCCCTATATAGGATCCGAACCTGCGGCGGGAGTGCCGCTGCGCTCCCAGTGCTGCACTCTCCCGAGTGAGCCACGGGGTCAGCCCTAAACTATATATTTTTTTAACTGTAAGAAAAAGAATGGCAGCCGCTGACATTTAGGAGCTGATACGATTCCTGCTATCACAATTACTACTTCCTCCAATAGCCTCTCAAAACACAAATCCTACAAGGGCACTCATTGAAATTAGGGAGGTAAACCTGCCACACTTAGGTCAGCTGTCACACTTGTCTTACATTACAAATCTGGATGATAATCTGTTAACTTCTTTGTGTCACTGAATAATTCTAAATATATTTAAAGTTCACAGATAATGCATACCTGGCAATCCTCCCCAGCACCACCAGACTGATTCAAGTGCGATGATGCATCACTCTGGTTACCACCTGCATGTCCAAGACGATGTTTAACAGGAACTTTGTTAAGAACATATGCACCCGATGTCTGTGGTTTGCTCATCATCTGCACATACAAAATAAACACATGTGATACAAATTTAGGATAATGATTACCTTAGGAAGAAGATAAGGATCATGGGAATGGGAGGGTGCTTCAATTATCTGTAAGGTTTTATTTTCTAAGTGAAGTGGTGAATATACAAATGATTACATTACATCATCCATACTTTTTTGGATGTCTAAAATATGTCACAACAATACGCATGCATACATACACATAAAAACTGCTAATAATTTTTTAATGTTCCCTTCAATATATAAAGCTTTGACAGACTTAGGGGCTTTTAACTGATAATAGCTTAATGTGAATAAAAATGTGAAATGATCACCTCAAAAACATAATGCAATCTTGGGCTGCATTAACAGAACATGGTCTAATGATCAGAAGTGCTGGTATTACTCTTTTCTACACTATTCATCCAATATCAAAGGAAATATTCATCTCTGCACCCTAACATGAAGCAGGATATAGACAGCAGTGAATAAAAGTTTAGATGCAAATGAGCAGGATGATAGATGGAGTTGAGACTACGTAGTATAAAGAATACTTTTATTTAAAAAATCTGAATGTATTTAATCTAAACATGAGAAGAGTGAGGTGGAGATTATCATTATTGTCAATATCTAAATGGTTCTCGTGTGTGGTGGTTTGTTCTTTCCTCCCTTCATCTATTCATTCAAATATGTTTTTGCTTTGTTTTGTTTTTTGTTTTTTGGTGGCTAGCTGGTGTGGGGATCCCAACCTTTGACCTTGGTGTTATCAGCACCACCCTCTCCCGAGTAAGAGATACATTTTGAGCAATATCTACCAGGCATTGTTTTAGGCACGGAGGGGTGGGGGGGATAGGATGAATATAATGGTCAAAATCCCAATTCACTTGGAGCTTCTAATTCCAGTTGTTAAAGGAACAGAATTCGTCTACATGGGAGAAAGTAGGACAAATGGGTGGATACAAGGGAGACTGATTATAACACAAACAAGTAGTTCTAGATTCAGAGTTGTTCAGTGGTGGAGGATTATTATACTTTACTGTGCATAAGAATCACCTAAGAGTATTTCTTAAACATGTAGATTTACAGGCCCCATATCTAGAGATTAACTGTAGGAAACGGGAAGGTGAGACCCAAGAACTTGCACCCAGGTAAGTGATTCTGATGTAGAACAACATACCTGGAGAGCTTGTTAAAAACAGACTCCTGAGCACCACCCACAGGGATTCTGATTAATTGGAATGGGGTGAGACCCAAGAATGTGCATTTTTAATAAGGTCCCAGGAGATCAGATGCTGCTGGTCTGTAGATCAAACAAACTATGAGTAGCCCGGACGTAGAAGACCCAAAGACCATGAATAAGAAACACTGATCTAGAGGCTGGGACTATAGGGCTTTTTAATTCCCAGTGAACCAGATTACCTTCTGGATACCTCCGTGCACCGTTGATGGAGGAGACTGGGCCACCAGTACCTGCTGCTGATGAAGATGCTGTGGCAGGTGATGGTGCTGCTGTGAGAGGTGACTAAGTGTTTGCTGTTGTTGCAGGAGCAGCTGTGTTGGGGACTGTAGTGCTGGCTGCTCATTATTTTCCCTATGCCATAGGACTCGAATAAATCGGTTGTTTAGAACTGCTTCTGTGCTGGAAATGGCTTTCCTGGCCTCCTCATTGGTAAGATACTGGATGAGAGCTGCCTCTGGATCACCTTTAAAAGCAACCTTTAAGAAAATAATAGAAACACATAAATTCCCAACAAGAGAATAGTTCAATAAATTATGGCAATTGCTATGAACTGAATTGTGTCCCCCCCCAAATTCATATGTTAAAACCCTAACCTAACCTCCAAAGTGACTGCACGTGAAGACAGAGCTTTTAGGAGGTGATTAAGGTTAAATGAGGTCATAAGGGCGGAGCCCTGTACAAACAGGACTGAAGGCCTTATAAGAAGAGGAAGAGATCTCTCTCTCTTTGCCATGTGAAGAAGACACAGCAAGAAGCCAGCTGTCTGCCAGCCAGGAAGAAAGCCCTCGCCAGGAACCAAATCGCCCAACACCTTGGTCTTAGACTTCCCAGCCTCCAGACTGTAAAAACATAAATTTCTGTCGCTGAAACCACTCATTCAATCAGTCTATGGTATTTGTTGTGACAGCCTGAGCAGACTAATACATCTATTGACATTAAGATATCTAAATTTTTCTAAATGCTGTAAAGAATAATGACCTAGGAAAAATTTAAAAGACGATAAAGACATCTGACATGATCACATCTTTTGCATTTTTTTAGTGTGTGAAGTATTTTTAAAAAGAGAATGTGTGTGTGTGTGTTATGCCATATAAGTAAATAAAAACAGTATGTCTTTTCATCAAAAGATGAACAGTTGTCAATGCCAAGTGGCAAGATTTAGGTGATTTGTTTTTTCACTTGTGTTTAAGGTATTTCCAATTTTTTATAAAACTTAACATGTACTACTTCTGCACTCAGGAAAAAAAAGGCTTAAATATCTCTCAAAAAAGAATACATTGGCTCAATTCTTTGAAATAAGTCCCCCCAATACTAGCTTCTTAAACTCAGCTATATTTTGGTTTGATGACAACAACACTTAAGTATCAGGGGTAACAGACTGAAATGCTAACTTAAACTAGGCTTCAGGTAGGTATTCAATTACAGATAACTCCCAACCACAAATTCATAAATTCAAATATCTAACACATAGACAGCAAAACTAAAAAGTTACAATTTATTTGATCCTGGATAACATATTACACTGCCTAAAATTCTCAAGATAGAACCATCCTTAAACCATTATTATTTCCCACAACACAAAAGTCAGTCAGCAGGCAAGGTTACAATCTTTGAAATTACCAAAAATTTCAGTTATCTAGTTAGAATATTAACACGGGTTTAAAAAAAAAAAAAAAAAAGTCCTTTGTTCAGAGGTAAACCATGAACAAAAATACAGTAAGTAGCCCAGCCTTCCAGGAACAGATTGCAGAAAGGAACCAAATTAATTCACAGGAACAAATTCAATTTAACAATTCCATCATAAATGTGGGATATAGATATATGATGGAGTTCACAACACTGAGCAGAGATGATGATAGTAACCACTGACTCATTAAAGCAAGGTGACCTGACAGGAAAACTTCCCAAGACCCATAAAATGCATGGATTCTGCTACTGAAATAGACACACATACCTGGATATTAACAATAGTTCCAAATTTGCTGAAGTGTTCATTCAGTTTGGTAATGTTGTTCAATTCCTGAGGGATTTTCTTGACTTCTAATTTGGTGTTCGTATACTGATTCTTTCGCAAGAATCCTGGTTTACTCTGATTGTTATTCCCTTGCCTGAAAGAAATATTAATAGACCTTGATTAATTGTCATGCCTAGCCAAGAGATACATCAGCCAAGAATTTAAGCTTATATTTACTAAAAAAGGGCCTTTTGTACGCTCAACATTCTTCAGAAATTTCTAAGCAATTTTCATATCATCCTTACTACATGGGAATAGAACCAGTGGAGAGAAAGAAGAGTGAATAGCAAAAGATTACAAAGAGAGAAAGCCCAAATGACACTAAAAATCATAGGCTAAAAAGATCTACCACAATTATCAAGGAGTCTTACATTAAAGCAAGATTAGAACATTATTTTTTAATGCTGTATTTTTAACTTCTGCCAAGGTACAGAACTTTTTCTTCTCTTCTATGCCTTTCCAGTGTCTCAATTATTTTAATATTGGCTTAGGCACGGAAATAGGCAGGAACAAATCACAAGTACCTATTATGAATATTCTGTTAACTTTTCAATTTTCAGAGAATTCTAAACATGGAACCCTAACTTTGAGCCACATAGTTTGAAAACCATTGATTAATAACAACTCTTAATTTTGCTAATTTACTAGTAGAAACAAAACAACAAAATCACCAATTAGATGTTACTAATAGCAAATTATCTTACTTTCCCAGCCAAGGTTTCTTTGTGAGTGGCCCTTCCAAACCACTCACAGCTCTTTTTCTGCTATCTGGTTCAAGAACTACTCTGGTTATGTTGCTATTAATTGAAACAGGAACTGGTGGTTCAGTCTGGATGACAATGTTAGCAGCTGTTGGAAACAAAAATTCACGTTACTGAGTTTTTAAGGAATTTCAAATCATAAAAACATTTAGTTTAAAAGCTAAAAAGCACAGTGAATAACACTTTACTAATTTCTGACAGCAAGAAAATATTACAAATGCCTTCTTTTCCAGTGAGCATTCATGCCCAAAGGTGACAAAATGTTAACAGCTGGTAAATCTAAAGTGAAGGCATTCAGGTGTCTACTGAATTTCTTTTGATTTTCTGTAGGCTTAAAAATTTTCAAACTTAAAAGTCAGGAAGAAAATCCAAAGCCAAATACCATAAATTGGTAATTTCATTCACAGCAGTTAAGTCTAAAATACAGTAAGAAAATGACCTTACAATAGGTTACCAGTGGGCGAGAAGAGATGTATTGAACAAAAAAGTAACAACACAAAACTATGCCTATTATACCCTGATATTTCCCCTAATTTTCTTTTATGTTTTTATTTTTTTGGCAGCTGGCCTGGTATAAGGATTAAACCTCGGTTGGTGTTATCAGCAACATACTCCCCCAACTGAGTTAACCAGCCAGCACCCTTTTTCCCCTAACTTTAGCAACTGCACGAAGCAAAGAATAACATATATAGGGCTGAACACTGGGATAGGGATGTGGGTGGGAAGTGGTATGTTTCATTCATCTGTGTGATAGAAAAATTAATATGTAAAGATTCATTCATTTAACATTTATTTCTTGAACAGCTATTTTACAGCTCAGGAACCGTACAGACCTTGGGTATAAATTAGTAAATAAAACAGATATGATCCCTGCCCTTGCTGGATCTGTTTCAAAAGGCAAATGGAGGAGATAACAATTGTGATGGGATAAAGCATTTTAGAATTTGAGATGCCATTATAATGTCTTGCTTAAATAGTTGTTATCATTACCACCTGATATTGCTTAATGCTTTTCTTTACTGAGGGGCTTTAAAAAGAAGAGCTATAGCTAGGGATTAAGTGACTTGCCCAAGATAACAAAGCAAGCCTGTAGCATACCAACCACATGACCTCTATACCGGGAGAAATTATCTATGAATTACTGTGTATGAATGTACAGACAGACCAGCTAGTGACAAAGGAAAGGCATGAAATCACTGAGAACATGATCTTCCCACTAATTTCAGGTAATTCAGTAACAATACATGCATTACAGCACAAAAATTAAGACTGTATTCTTTGGAATTAGATAGATCTGCGTTCAAATTCTAGTTCTGCCACTTAACACCTGTGTGACCTTGGTTAAGTTCTATAAGCTCTCTAAGCTCAGTGTCTTCACTTGTGGGAAAAAAAAAAAAAGAACAAAGATAGTATCTCTTTAATGGAGTCGTTGTAAGGAATACAAGAGATAATAATAAATATGAAAGGATTTGGTGTAGTCCTGACACAAAAACTGTTAGCCTATAGTGGTAACAGTTTATTAGTGTTATTAATGGCAGTGAAGAAGAATTAATAAAATCAGGATAGGAAAGATAATAAGAATAGAAAAATGTTCACCATATGATTAAATCAGAAAAATATTGTCAGTATGGCCCCACGGCCAGTCACTCAAACTGAAATTAAGTATTAGAAATCTAACTATAATAAGTTAAGAAAATGGTAGAAAAATGTTCACCATATGATTAAATCAGAAAAATATTGTCAGTATGGCCCCATGGCCAGTCACTCAAACTGAAATTAAGTATTAGAAATCTAACTATAATAAGTTAAGAAAATGGAATGTCATCAAACTCATTAACCAACCTTTTTTCAGGAAGAGGGGGAAGGAGGATATCAACCCATATTAAAGGTAAATGCTCACATTTAATCTTAGTTTTATTTTTAAGGTTTGTGCCTAAGCTTTGTTTTTGTTTTTGTTTGGTGGCTAACCAGTATGGGGATCCGAACCTGTGATCTTGGTGTTATAAGCCTGTGCTCTAACCCACTGAGCTAATCAGCCAGCCCTGTGCTTAAGCTTCGTAAAGGTCCTAACTTATGGTTATAATTGTAAGCGTTAAAAATGTGAAATGATAATTTTTTACTGTATTGTTTTAGATTCTCACTGTTATTAGCATAAAGCATAGCTATCAGGATACAAAGTGGGCCCTTAAATGATCAGTTTTAAAATAAAATTCGAAGATTAAAAAAGTTATTAAAAAAAATTCAAGCTGGTTACACAGCACCCTTCAGAGAGACAGTATATAAGTATGAAGTTACTTCAAAAAGTTCATGGAAAAATAGGATTAATAAAGTATACAAATCTTTCCATAAACTTTTTAAAGTATCCTCCTCTTTCAGATCTTTATTTCCTCAAGTGAAATCAGAAATGCAAATGTAATAACTATATCCATAACATTTATATTTATATAGCCTAACATTTAGCATCAGAAAAAGTTCAAGGCATTCTTACCTCTTGGATTTGCATCCATATCTCCAGATGTTAAGCCAATCAGGTTGGGGCGCTGTGTCTGTGTTCTTGAAAAGAACTGTCTATACTGAGATCTACCAGAACTGGTAATACTAGGAGCTTCTGGGTTATAACCATCTGGTTCATACGTATCTGAGGGAAAACAAACAACAAAACACATAACAAATCAGGAAAGATTAAACCATTTCTCATTTCTGTAAAATAAATAACTGCTAAAAAGTGTATATTCTTCATCAAGTGTATAATTACATCAACCCAGATATATTTCTCTTTGAGTTACAGTATATAGATACACCTTTTGGAAGTGAAAGAAAAATAAAATGCTACTGTCACAAAACACAGATACATACATTCATTATTAAATACCGATTCGCTTGCTTAGTCATTTTTACCCTACAGTCACCTAATCCAAACTCCAATGCACATTTTTAAAACAACTTTCATGTGCAAGAACACTACATATTGAAGGACTTGTTAAGTTTCCTCTGTTGTCTATCATGTCTCACCAATTTCCAGGTCCTTTTTTATTTGGGGGGTGGTGGGGAATCAACCTATTCACTTGGTTATCTGTACTTTAAACTGGAAAGAAAGTAGCTGGTTTCATACACAAAGCATATCTCAAAACACCTAAATAAGATAAATTTTATAAGTGTAATAATTACCTATCATCCTCTTCATCAATGTACTTTTATCGCGTTTCCTGTGTTTTCTCTACAACTAAAAATTTAATTTTTACAATTCTAATGCTAAATAACTATTTTGTTAGTGTTATTCTGAAAGTGTTAATCTTCAAATGGTATACATCCTTTTCATTCTACATAAAAGGGTTAAAACTGACTGGAGACACCGATTTTCATAATTGTGATACAGAATTCCTCTAGTTTCTCACCTTAATGGAAAAATTCCTCATGTGATTCATATTAAGTTTCAGCTACAAGATAAGGTATATTCAGATCTTTATTACTGGTCAATCACTTCTATAATTCAGAGTATAAGACAGCAAATTATTCCTATTTAGGGGATCTTCCTGGCCTCTAAAAGCATTTGAGTATGCCGCCCCTACGTAAGCACTACTAGGATTCAGAGAAGTCCCGCATCCAGCAAATTTCTCACGCCCAACCCTCTTAGATTAAGCATCTCCCCTGAATATTGTGCTTCTCCTAACTTAAGATTCACAAGCGAACTCTCTTCTTGCATGAAACATCAACGGGTTACCATGAGGCTAAAACAATAAAAAGCCATTAAAGCACAGGTGGTTCTGAGATACTTGGTATCAGAACTAGAACTGCTGGTCAGCATTCCTTCTCCTCCCTCTACCCCATTTTCTTTCTTTCTTCTGGTTCTGAAAACAGCTCATGGAATTGTACAGAAAGGGCATTAATAGATTAAAAACTGTTTCCCTCTAATAAAATGTTAAACTGTGTGAAAATTATTCACCAGGACTAGTTGTGCTGTCCTCCTCAGAGGGGGATGGCTTGAAATTTAAAAAGTTATCACAATGATGTTCCTATTATAGAATTTGTATTTTACCCCAAAGCTTGCGATCAGCCTTGAAGCTGCTTGATGATGGTTAATAAAACCAACCAAACTCTTTTGCCTCAGTGGTTAGAGAGCTATGCAGGATGGCTTGAAATTTAAAAAGTTATCACAATGATGTTCCTATTATAGAATTTGTATTTTACCCCAAAGCTTGCGATCAGCCTTGAAGTTGCTTGATGATGGTTAATAAAACCAACCAAACTCTTTTGCCTCAGTGGTTAGAGAGCTATGCTTAGAGTTATCAGGCAAAGAGTATTCTTTGCACTTCATACTTATTTCAGCTTCTGCTCTAAACCCCCTCTTCACAATTTTTGTTTAAGACAACTAAAGACAGTATTTAATTGTGAGCATGCCTCCCTGAAGGAATGACACATTGTAATGATATGCCTAGCTTAAAAGCAAATGTAATCTACTTGCTTATTAAATTTAAATGTGTTTAAGTCTGATATGGTTTGAAGATGATATATAAAATAACAGCTTTCATGGTTACAAATGTCAACTCTAAAAACTATATGCAACATAACGTACAAAGTAAATGCTACTCCAACTTTTTAAAAAAAGATCAGCAAATTATGATTAAAAAAGTGTTTTCAGTTACCATTTGGTATTCTTGACAAACAATCTCCTACAGTTAAGGCTGCAGAAAGTTTTAAGGAAGTTACATAATCAAATGACCTTGTTCTATAATTACTGGGAATATCCAGAACCCCAATAAACTTAAAAGTCCTTTAGTTAATTACAATGAAATAAGATCTAACAGCAAAGTGAAAAATGTTAAAAATAAACCTCATGAATCACCAATAAAGCATTCCACAGATCTTCAAAATACACATGTCAATAGGAGGGAAGAGTTTCCAAGAATCACTACATTACACACAACCAGTATGTACAACAAGTGGTAGAGGGAAAAAAGAACATGTTTATCCATGATCAGCAAGAAACCAGATGTTTGTTTTTGGTTTTGTTTTGAAGAAAAATTAACCTAGTTTTTCTTGTAATGTTTATCCAATTAATTAGAAAATATTCAAGTAGATAATATCTTCCTATCTACCTGATTAGAACTAGCTCAAAGAACTAGCATGACTTTGTTACCAAGGCACGAAAAGTAAATAAAGAGGACACCAGAGATGACAGACACACAGAAGGCCTAATCATCTAGCAGCCACTAGGGACAAACCAAAGAAGCAAAGAAACAGAAAATAAAACGACCTAAGAGCTTTAATGGAAATTTATGACAGCAGATCAGGAAATCAGGTAACCTCTTAGGCTGGCCAGCTTAAAGTACAAAAGATCAGTGAGGTGAATGGCCATCTGTAGCAAAGCTTACCTGGGACGAGAGGGGTGGGGCTGGAGACTGAGGTATGGTACCCAATGGAGGATCCCATGAGGTTGCGAGGTGGCACCAAACGAGCTGCCAACAGAGGAGGCGGTGTCCCCAACTGAAGTCGCTCAGATGCAGCAGCACCATGTTCACGAGAGTACATGGGCTGTCCTACAGAGGAAAGAATAGGAGGGCAGCTGGGATTGAGAGTCATAAGCTTCTCTTACGAAATGATGTATTTCCTGACACTTTGAGCCAAGAACACAGAAATCATGCCAACAGGGTCAGCAGTCGAGAAAGATGTTACTGAAATTCTTTCTAACTCAAGAAAGAACAGACATACAACTGGTTAGGATGTGTCGAGGTATAAAGAAAGAATAAGAATTAGGTAGTATGACTGTATAAACTCCATCTTTTACAATCTTAAAGGGAATAAATACATGCCAATTTTATCCAAAGTTGAACAATCAACCATATCAAGATATTAAACAAAGAAGCCCTGAGCCATTATTCATATAGAATTTTAAATAGAATAAGATATGAAGGTGTCATACTATTTTGAAAAGAAACAGGATTCTTTAGACAAAGAGCTGACTCCAGGTCAGGGTAGAAAATATATACGAGTCTGGTACACCTTGCTATATGTTGCCCTTCCAGAAGCAAGACAGCTATCATAGACCTGTATGTCAAAAATAAACAAAAAACTATCAAGAGCCAACATGAAGAGGCTGCCACTAGTCAAAGATGAGACAACTAAAACATTGAAAAGGACTACAATGGAATGAAATATATTAAACATGTTAAAAACTCGTGAGTTCATAATGATACTTTTAAAAAAAAGACAGTGGTCCCCTTTGAAAGATAATAAAGAATCAACTCAGTTTTCTGAAAACTGATAAATGAAAGAAAACAAGCATTTATCCTTCCTGCCTACAAAAACTCCATCTCAGGTTAATCAAATGGTTGATACTGCCAAGTTTTACTTTACAGAACGCCAGTAACAAATGTAGAAGAAATAAAATTAGAGTGTAATATCAGACAACAGACATAGGCAATGATCAAAAAGGACTGCTGAAACCATAAGCAATTTTTTCAATGGACAGATTAGGATGAAAACACCCGTACACATTGATCAATATTTATAACCCAGAAAGAAGGTAACCAGACATTATGAGCATTATGATGTACTGCAGCAGGAAATACATAACTCCAATGTATTAAAATGTTCTTGCCAAACAAAGAAAAAAGCCGAAAGTGAATCTAATTAAATCTCTAGATCTAACCTCCAATGTATAAGAAAATACAGGGGATAGAGGAATGTGTTAAATGACTCCAGGGGATGAAATCTGCCAATACAGACTGTAAGAAAAATCTGTTCCCTCAACAAATAAATGACAGGGGGAATAAAAGGGTAAGGGACATTAAAGACCTAAGAAACATGTCAACTAAATATAATGTGTAACCTTGTTTGGATCTACCTTCAAATGAACCAGCTGTAAAAGAACATTTATGATACAATTGGGAAATAAGAACACCAACTGGATATTTGACAAACAGTAAAATGTTAATTCTTTCAGGACTGTGAGAATAGTATTACGACTATGTATGTTTAATCCTTATCTTTTAAAGATACATAAGTTTTTAAGATAATGTTTGGGACTTGTTCTAAAACATCAAGTCAGGGTTGGATTATAGATAAAGCAAGATTAACCAAGGTCAAAGGATTTGGATACCTGTACTGGCCAGCCACCAAAAAAAAAAAAGTTTTAAAAAACCAAATAGATTACAATAATGATGATGAGCCAGTCAGAATTTATATCCATTCAATTTAGTTTTGGTCGGTGTAGAGAGTGATTGGATAATTCCCAACTGCAAACATCTATGTTCCCATCTTAAGTTGTTTAGGTATCTTACATGCCTGATAACATTTTCATATTCTTAATATTTAGTCAGTTGAAGACAGTCTTTATTAAACCAAAATTTTGGCCACTGTTTCTAATTTTCCTGATTTTGTCTTGAAGAGTAATCCCGGGGAAAAAACTGTAAGGTAAGTTTTAAGCTAAAGCTCCAAATCTAAAAAAATTAAAAGACTCTATCTTCCAAATACAGACCATATTTATCATATGTTGTCTTTATTAGAATACAAGGTCCTTGATACACTTTGGAAGTTCCAGGGCTTAAACAATGCCTGGTACATAGTAGGAACACAATAAAGAGTCATTTAAAGAGATGAAAGTTTGAAGTACCCAAATGACAAGTAAGTATTTCTTTGGGTGAATATCTATATGTTGAAATAGGTAATATGACAACTAATGCAACATGAATCCAAGTAAAACTCCAGACAATATACAAGGACTCTATTAGACACTGATTTATTTTTCTAGACATCAAATCCATTATTCTGCACAGAGAAATGCTATCTGTATATACCACAGAACTAAATCAGCAAATCTCAAATTCTGCATTATAGTGTTTTAATAACTTTATACAATTAATAACAGCAAAAGTATTTTCTGAAAGACAAAGATTTTTTATGTGAATTGATTGAAGATTGAACAATTTCCTACAACCTAAGACTCAGTCTCTAGAATCCAGGATATTCTATACTACTCTTACTTTTTGTACATTCAGTACAATGAGTTTAGCAGTTATAAAATATTTCTGTTATGTCTTCTTCAAAAAATCAAAAAAAAAAAAAAGGACCAAATATAAGGCAGAAAAGAAAGCACAGTATATTTTACTTAAAAATGGTCTTCGGGGGCCGGCCCTGTGGCACACTTGGGAGAGTGCGACGCTGGGAGTGCTCCCGCAGTGGGTTCGGATCCTATATAGGGATCCGATGGTGTGCTCACTGGCTGAGCGCGGTGCGGATGCTACCAAGCCAAGGGTTACGATCCCCTTACCGGACACACACACACACACACACACACACACAGTGGGTTCGGATCCTATATAGGGATCCGATGGTGTGCTCACTGGCTGAGCGCGGTGCGGATGGTACCAAGCCAAGGGTTACGATCCCCTTACCGGACACACACACACACACACACACACACACAAAAGGTCTTCGGAAAGCCAAAAAACATAGACTGATTTAGTGACTTCAAATTTGGGTAAAACGTGTAAGTACTTCAGAGGAAACAGTTGATTTTAATAGGTGTATGAAACCGTTGTCTTTCCATAAAACTCCAACTACATCTCATTAGTCAAGTCATTTTCATAGGATCCATGACATTTTAACTCAACAAAAACAACAAAATTTCAAAAAGTTTTTTCTAAACTATAACCATTTGATATTAACTTTTAAGTAGCATTATCAGAAACCATAAATATCCTACCCAGTTTTACAACGGGGTAATTCTTTTCCTCCTTTTAACACTCAATTGTCCTCTTCCAAAACAAGTGATAACTGCAGCCTAAATGAATGCTCTGTTTTTGACAGAATTAGTTCCTTTGTTACCTGTGTTTCTGAGGCACACTGTTATTTAGGAAAATATACCGTAAATGGTTTTTGTTTTCTGTGCGTTTTTTTTTTTTTTTAATATTTGTTTCCCACTATTAGATTTTCAGATTCTTAGGAAATGAGCCATTTCTTATCCATGTGCATGTTTCCAGTACCTAGCACTGAGCAAACTCCTACCTACTTTTACCTTCAAAATCCAGATTTCATTTTTCTGTGTTTACTTTGCATCCCTACTGACATAGTTTTCATGACTAAATACCATTTGATGTTATTTTTCATTTACAAGCATTTTCTGTGTTGTGAATTGTAATGATAATAATTTTAATGGCAATAATATATCCATAATTTACTTTCCCAACTTGCTAAACTTTTAGGATAACTCAAGTTCCCTATTACATTGCAAACATATACAGTTTTTTACTTAATTTGAACTGATGCAAGTTCTATTTTTACTGAAATTAGCCATTACAGTATTTAGAAAAGTAACTTGGAACAATTTCAAGGATTCAACTTGCCTCAAATACAATAATTTTTTTTAAAAAGTTTAAACTCAACTGATGAAAAAGATATAAAAAACTTGTGACTGACAAACTAAACTACACCCCCCCCCCTATTTTTTAAATGTATTGTTATCAGGTACTATCCCCTAGGATTTCCAATTTCTCTATAAATTTTAGAATGAAATTTTAGACTTTTATGAAAAGAAGGAAATCACAAACTTGTTTGCATAGCAGAGTTTTGAATTATCTAATATGAATATCTCATAACTTTCAAAATATTCAGTTGTCAACCAATTAAATCTCTTTAAAGACACTGACACAGACACAGAACTAGCCTTTAAAGTAGTAATTCACAAATGCCAGTGGGAAGTTTTCACCTTTTATTGGTCTGAGACAAAAGATTATGTCTTTTTTGCCATAAAAATGTATTTTTAAAATTGAAATAATATTAGATGTTTTCATATACAGTCTTTAACCAGGCAAAATAGGAGGCTGCTAAGTGCACTGGTCCCCAAAATTTTCTTAGAGACATTACCAGCCTCTAAAAAATGAAAGTTTGGTACTGCACACAGGTATTGATATTCAACTCTGTACCCCACAGATACGTACAATCAACTATGTTACAATAAAAATAAAAATTAAACAAAAGAGAAAAGTTTGGAATTTTTGTCTAAAAGGCCTTTACTGATAAATCACAAAATATTTTTGTTTTTAACAATAACAGAAAAATGGACTTCAAGCAACATGAAGTCTGATATTCATTTTGGTTCCCTAGTGTCTAGCACAATGCCTGGCACATAGTAGGCACTCAATAAATATTTGATGAATTAATGAATATTAAGCTAAATCATCGAAATAAATAACTGCCAGACTTTTTAAAATAAAAACCAAATGGAATATTTATAGAGACAACAATGTTAAATTTAACAATATAAGAACAAACGGTAATTGACATTTTTTTAGTTTAAAAAAAAAGGAATTTTGTCATGAGTCACAATACTAAATTTAACGGTATAAAAATATGCCATCTGTAACAGACTCTCAGGTGAATAATCCAGTTTTCATATTTACAAATCCAAAAAGTGTTCAGAAATAATGTTAAATGCTGATTCAGGAGAAAAAGATGAAAGGATTAGAAATAATTTGATGACTGTTGAAGATGGATGATGAGTACATGAGACTTCATTATACTGGTGTATGAGAGTTCATTATTCTATCTTCTTTATTTTTATGTAAATTTGAGATTTCCCACAATTAAAAAGTGAGGCCAGCAATAAAACAAACATGCACTAAGACACTACAGTAACCAGAAGACTGTGAGGTATTAAATATGAAACAGAAAGGACAATTACTTCAGTATCAGATGTAATTTCTGAAGAAGCTCAGTTGAATGTAACATACATGAAAAAATAAGTCAAACAGTAAGCCTACATACAAGTATATATCATTATACAATAAATGCTTTCTGGTACTGTAAATTTAGAACAATACAAGTATGTTTTTCATGCACTTAGAAGATTTAGGCCTTGCAAAAAGTAGGAGAGAGAGCATATTGATAGCAGTGAAGGTGGGAAAAGAAAGCTGAGTCACAACAGGCAGACAGAGAGGATATAACTAGCCTGACCAGAGAAGGTGCATGTTGGGGAATAGTGAAAAAAGACTTCCAAGAAGAGATGGAGTAGATTATAAAAAGAGTCAGAAGATGAAGAGAGGTCAACAAATAGTTCAGAAGGACATGGTGGCCACTGAAGAGCTCTCACGAGGAACTATCATGGTTGGTTTTCTGAGCAGCATTAATATGATGTAACTTAAAATATATTTTATGAAATATAAAACATAATGATGTCAAGAAGGTTGTAGAAATCCAAATGTGAAATGATTCAAGTGTAGATAAGGGCAGACCATAGTAGAAATAAAGAAAAAGGGATACTTCAAAGAAAAAGAAACAGGATTAACTGGATATGGAAAAGCAAAGCAATGAGTCAGTTATGTGCTTTGTCATTCAATTCTAGGTAATTAGGTAGATGTTATTTATTTCTATTGACAAAGACAAGAGTGGCAGAAGGTAGAGATTTAAAGAGAATAGGTTTGATTTCAGAGAGGCAAAAATTTGAGGAGACAATAATAACTACAATAATATAATAACATCCTTTATAGCTTACTAGATGCCAGGCACATTTTTAGATGCTTTATATGGATTAATTTACTCCTCAAAACAACCTTAACAAGGTGAGTACTATTATAATTCCCGTTTTACAGAAGAGAAAATTGAGATAAAGAGAGGTTAAGTAACTTGCCCAAGGTCAAAGAGAGTAAATAATGGAACCAGGATTCCAACCTGGGCTCAATTACTTTGCTGAATTGCCACTCTACGACATAAAAGAGATGAAGAAATGTTCAGGAGGCAAAACAAACTTTATGATAAATACAAAAAAAAGAACATATCCACAAAGTTACCTGACTCTAGAGAAAACCTCATAATCTGACATTTTTAATAACCAACTACCTTTTTTTAAAAATGCTTTTGGAGATGGAAATTTTTCAAAAAAGCCTTAGTAAACTAAAAACAACAAAACACCTAAGAAGTAAAAAGAGAATGAGAATTCAAGAAAAAAATGTATTGCAAGGGTACTTCTAAAAGTTCATGGAAGGATTTGTATTAGCTTTCAATTCTATTTTCCACAAACTTTTTGAAGTACCCTCATAATACAATTAAACATGAGTGTTACAAATATCCTAAACACTAAACATTACAATTTAAACAATGCTATCTTTACTTTGGCATGTAAGTTAAATATTAGGCATATTTTACCTGACCTTTTGTCTACATATTATGAGCTAAGCCTTATATTTTAGAAATTCAGTCAGAAAAAAATTTTCTGAACAGAAGCTTTAAATTAAATTTCCTTTAGAGGAGACTAAATGTTGCTACTCTGTGGCAGAGCAGACTTCTCCAAAACAGAAGGCCTTGTTTTTCTCTCCCCATCACACAAAATTAACCTATGATTATATATATATAGCATAACTACACAGTAAACTACATTGTGAATACAAATAAAATTTGCATAGTTACATGGTCCACAAGAATAGAAATTAATTATATTTTTAATAGGGTAATACTATGAGAAAACATGGCTCTTTTATACCCTAGCAATTTAAAGTCAACATTTACTTACGTTCTGATACTGTATAAAGGAGGTTCTGGGGTAAAGGAGGAGGTAGTCTTGCTCCCACTGGTGCAAGATTGGGCACTGCAGTTGTCCCAGGCTGGTCACGGCTGTTTATCAAGCTTGACTGTGTTATAGGTGGTCCTACAGATAAGAAAAAGTGAAAGGTAGAGCATTAATGTTTCCTAATAAAAAGATTCACTGTCCTAGTACTAATTTGGATATTCATACTTAAAATACCTGCTTCAGCTTTGAACAAAATTAAGGAATTTGATTTATGTAGGCAGCACTGTGAGTTGTATAATTAATTAAAATGACACTCTTAGTTCTGGAACAGGCAAAATTAATCTAGGGCGAAAAAAAGCAGAACTGGTTGCCTCTGGGAGTGGAGGTGTAGAATGACCAAGAAAAGGCTTGAGAAAACTTTCTGGGGTGGTGGTAAAGTTGTATGTTACTCTTAAATTAATAAGCATGCTTAAATGTTCTAATATCTACGACATACTGTGAAAAGCATCAACAATAAAAATGGACAGATGGAAAGCTATGTGATAATGCAAACATAGTAAAATGCTAACTGTAGAACCTAGATGGTGAGTACATGAGTACAATTTTTTCAACTTTTCTGCTTGCTTGAAATTTTTCAAAGCTAGATGTTGGGGGAAATGACATTCTTGGATTTAATTTTTAAACAAATATGTCCCCACAATAAGATAACATCTCTTCTTATTAGAATTTCTATATGATGCTTCTTTACCTGGAAAATAAAATCTCATCTTGAGCTTCACAATTATACTGTTTACATAAAAATTTACTAAATATTCACAAACACTAAGTTAAAAGAACAATATTTCTATTGACCAAATCTATGCACGAAACTCCTGCAAACCCTTATCAACTTTAATGTGTTTTAGAGTACTTCACTGCAAGGAAGCTCAGCAATGGGTAGACTATGCTAAATTATTTTTGCAACTTCTTTTGAATCTATATAATTCAAAAGGAAATATTTTTAAAAACTGATAAAAAGTACTACTTAAATAAATTTTTTAAATAATAATTTGTTCTTTTAATAATGTCCAAGTAGATATTTTCTTATATATTTGCATACATGTAAACAATTCATAATTTTTTCAAATATTAATTTAAAAATTTAGTCTTAATTCTGTTTCTGCTATACTAGCAACTGTTAATAATGTTTTTCAAATGACCATTTTTAAACATTTCTCATTTTTAATTTTGGTGGATGTGATAATGGCATATTTATTATTTTTTAAAGAACAAGAAAAGCAAAAAGCAATCCTTATCAGTAAAGAGATCCATATTGAAGTATATACTAGTAAAATGATATGACATTTGGAATTTACTCCAGCCAAAACAAAACAACCCAAAAAAATGTGTGGGAGAGTGTGGCATAAATGAGATACAAATAGCTAAAGACTGATAACAATTGAGGCTGAATGACGGTACATGCAATACACATATTATTCTCCTGCCTCTGTGTATGCTTGAAAGATTCCATAATAAAAAATTTTAAGCATTGTTTCAAAGTTCTTAAACAAATTTTCTTTAAAGACTGGGAAATTTCATTAAACTACTGGCATGTTCTTTCTCTGACATCTTAAAAAATTGTCTTTCTTAAGATGCTACCAACTAACAAGATTTTGACTACAGGGTATTTTCACTATAGGTTAGACTACTACAGATAAAATTTACAATGGAGGTACTTCAAATAACACCACGTAACAATGGATAGAAAGAAAGAATAGCATCTTAACTATAGGAATATATTTCAAATTCCATTATTAATTTAGTTTTATAACACTTTGACTGGAGTGCCAAGTTAGCTAAAAGGGATGAGGTTCTTCTCAATAGAATTCTTCACTAAAGAAAGGAAGATTCGACCAACATATATACTTACTCGGTATGGGAAGCACAACGGAAGGTGGAGGTTGACCATGTCCTTGTGGAACAGGAAGTCTCATACTATGGCCAGGACCTGGGCCTGGGCCAGGGCCAGGGCCTGGCATTGGAGGCATTAACATCCCAGGAGGTGGTGGAGGAGGAAGCCCAGGAGGAGGGGGTGGAAAAGGAATCATACTGGGCAGAGCAACTTCATCAACAACGAGGGGATCATTTCCATGATCAAACTGACAAAGGTCACCAAGTACACAAAATCCTCTTTCTGTAAGAAAAAAGAATCTTTTTATGATCTACCTAGAGTTCAGAAAACAAACAAGTCCCTGAAAAACCCACCAATCTGATTTACAAAATGGTTTTTTCCAAGGAGTCTAAAGCCTTCTTAGTGTTATTCTGTTAATTATCACATATCCCCGAGGCTCAGGCAAGTGTATTCTCTACTTTCTATACTACGAAACTACGACTTGTTGAAACAGCAAATAACGGGGTCAAAAACTGGCTATTAGCTATTATTAGATTAACCCATTTGCTATTAAGTTTTTATAATAAAAATCCATATACTTTAAACAAATGTCAATTTAGCAAAGGCTTGGTGGGGTTGGGAGAAGCAATAAAGGCCTTGAACTAGGTAATTTAATTTCAAAAATCTATTCCCATAATACAATTCTAAAGCAACCATTCTTGCTATATCTGTAAGTTGAAACTTTAGTTTAAAATATTCCAGTGAGCATTATGTACCACATACTTCACTGCAGCACTGTTTGTAATAGAAAAATGTTAAAAACATCTCGAATGTGCATCATTAAAAATAAGTTAAACATATTATTGATGTACTGAATACTAAGAAGCCTAAAAAAAATACTGAGGAAGCTCTTTATTAATATAGAATGACTGCCAGGAAATACTAAGATAAAAAATATTATACAAAAATGTGAATAGTATACTCGTATTTACTTAAAAAAAGAAAGTGAGAGAGAATATGTATATGTATTTGTTTATATATATATATGCATAGGCTATCTTTGGAAAGATATACAAGAAATTAATAACATTAAGTTGGCCTTGGGAAGGAGAACTCTGCTGGGAGACCAGGGTGAGGATGAGGTAACACTTCAGTTATGATTTGAATCTATTCCCCACTTAAAAATAAATAAAATGTAAAAATATATAATTATTTATAGAAAAAAAATGTTCTGATGTCCGCAGCTTGCTTGAAATCATACAAGACAGGGAAAAGTGAGTGGGAGCATAGATAAAAATAAGATTGCCCATGAGCTGGTAACTATTGAATGAGGTGATGAATACACCGGTGTTAATTATATTATTTTGTCAGCTTTTATAAATATTTAAATATTTCCATAATAAAGAACTAAAATAAACTCATACATACTGATTCATTCATTCAAATGGAAACTCAGCAAATCAAACTTGCGAAGTACAGTATACATGCTTAACAAATTCCCAGCACCAAACACTACACTAAGAAATTATTATTTTGGGCCAAGCCCGTGGCGCACTCAGGAGAGTGCGGCGCTGGGAGCGCAGCAGCGCTCCCGCTGCGGGTTCAGATCCTATATAGGGATGGCCGGTGCGCTCACTGGCTGAGCGCAGTGCGGCCTGAGTGGGAGCATAGATAAAAATAAGATTGCCCATGAGCTGGTAACTATTGAATGAGGTGATGAATACACCGGTGTTAATTATATTATTTTGTCAGCTTTTATAAATATTTAAATATTTCCATAATAAAGAACTAAAATAAACTCATACATACTGATTCATTCATTCAAATGGAAACTCAGCAAATCAAACTTGCGAAGTACAGTATACATGCTTAACAAATTCCCAGCACCAAACACTACACTAAGAAATTATTATTTTGGGCCAAGCCCGTGGCGCACTCAGGAGAGTGCGGCGCTGGGAGCGCAGCAGCGCTCCCGCTGCGGGTTCAGATCCTATATAGGGATGGCCGGTGCGCTCACTGGCTGAGCGCGGTGCGGCCAGTCTCAAAAAGGACAAAAAAAAAAAGAAATTATCATTTAGTGTCCACCAAATTTTATGGTATACTTACAGTGTTTTAAGTAACAATAAGAACAAAAACTAAGAGTTAAATGTGAATATTCTTTTGACAGGAGCCAAATCATTAAATCAAACAAGTAAATAAGCATATGCCAAAAGAGATTCTTCCCTCCATTCATTGCTTTTAACAAAATCTGAACTGTAATTAAAAGGTACATAATACATGCAACATTTGCTTTACTAGTACTTTTAGGTACAATATAAGAGAAGGCAGTGATTCTTACCATCATAATCTCTGCATCGCCTCTTTGGTGGTGGGTTTCGACCAAAAGAATTGGAAGAGCTATGATTGTTATAGTAATTAGACCAACTCTCAGTTGTGTTTTCAGAGTGGTGAGCAGGTGCGATCACAGTAACAGTGCTGGGAATAGACTGTGCCCCGGAGGAATACTGCTCAGAAGAGTTCGGAGGTGGTGCAGACACAGGCACGTAGGAACTCTCTAAGTCATTCCTTTCACTCTTAAACTTTGATCTTTCCCTGTGCTCTGCTTTAGAGACAAAATAAAAACATGAAACAGAGAGATCAGACATTTATGTTCTTAAACTATGTTTATTTTCCTACAGAATAAGATGAATGTTGAAGTAAACTTACTGAGCTATCCATATTTCAAACTGCTCTCATTATTAATATATCCTAAAAGCAGGAACATCAACAATGTGACCATCTTGACATCAACATCAATTATACTTCATGAAAAAGAGTTAGCTTCTCCACTGATACTTAATAAGAATGTTATCCAAGAATTGACTTCCAAATTGATATCCCAGGAGATCAGTGGTTGGGATCTCAGTAATCTACTTAAATTTTTATTTTAAGTTTTATAAACCTAGGCAACCTTACAGCAGATCAATTATTTTTAGGAAAAAAACAAAAACAAAAAGCAAGAGCAGACAACCTTCTTCTACCAGTGATAGCTTTGTTGATTAAAAGATATTTGTACCAATTATACAAAATCACTTAACTCTAGACATGTACTATGATACGCCTATGAATAGTTTCTTTTCAATCAAATTCTCTTGGCTCCATTCCAAGAATAGAGCCCTGTCTTTGTAAGAAAATCAATATTCAGTTTTTTGAGACAATTCCAGTTTTCACTTTGCTTGGACATATTAAGAGTACATTTATCTTTAAGAGAATTTCTTGTATCCTTGTGATACAGGAAGATAAGTGACTACAGAGTTTTTAGGAGGACATCTCATCTACTCACCAATATTCCTATTTGGATCTCGGTCTTTGCTGTGCCCCCTACTTCGGCTTCTACTGCGACTCAAGCCTCGGCTCTTACTCCGACTCTTACTCCTGCCTCTTCTCCAGTCGTACTTCTCACGGTATAATTCATTTCGCTCATAATACCGGTCATAGTCTCTCCACTTGCCATCTTCTCTTTTTCTCTCACGTGTCCTATAATACACAGATATAAAAGCCATAGGCTATAAAAACCAAGTCTGCAAACAAATCTGTAGTATGAAATACTCTCCTTAAGTCACAAAATTCATAACGTCTACGCTTTTTCAGAAAATAGTAAGACCATCACATAAATCCTCTACTCCATTACACAAAAAAGGAGAAAACATTCCCACTTCAGTATACTGGGTGGGGAGAAATGAAAAAAAGAGGTGAAACCAAAGTATGGGAAGGGGTAGGGGAAAACAGAAAATGAGAACTAGAAAAGAAAAAAGCTCAAAACAAAATTTTCCTAAACAAAGACCAATTTTTTAATGATAAGTTGATGATTCAATATACAAACTGTGCTACTTGTAATATAAAATGATATGGATGATTTTAATATTGAGCACCCCTAACCAAATGGAACATTTCATTAACATTCTCTAAGGAGCCTGCTCCCACCTCTGAGCTCTTGGGGAAAGCACATAACGATAACTGTTTATAAAAGAAACAGAAAGTAAGACAAGGACAAAAAATAGAAAGAAAGGAAAAAAGAAAGATAATATTCTCCTAAATGAATTTAGAGAGGAGTCAGTACACATGTTAAAAATTTCTTTAATGCCCTTGCAAGGCAAGTGAAAAGTGAGTTATCAACATTTTCCTAATTAAACATAAACACAAACCTTTGTTCACTAGATTCTGAACGAGTCTTCTGGGGACTAGGATATTTCTTTTTTCTGACATCTCGTTCTTCCTCTGCTGGCTCCTGAAATACCTACATGAAAACATTCATTAGAAATAAGAACACTCCTTCTATTATGAAATTACAAAACAAATGCACCTGATAATCTTTCTGGCATGAGAGAGCACATAAATAAATACACTGAAATACTGTGGTCAAATCACATCCAAAAGAATTAGGCAACAGTAGAAGTAAAAGAGATGCTCAGGTCACTTTAAGAAGCAGTGTGTTAATTTTTAAATGTTAATCTAAGGTAGGGAATGGTAGTGTAGGTTTTTTTTTTTTTTAATGGCTGACTGGTTCAAGAATCTAAACCCTTGACCTTGGTGATATAACATGCACTCTAACCAATGGGCCAGCCCAACAAGCAATTCACTCTTTAAATTGAGATAGTAGAAATAGCAAATCTCTAAGTATTTTAAACTAAAATGGTTTATGTTTTCCTAATTATAATCACACATATAATTCATTTCAGGAGGACTTCAGATTTAGCTCACAGAAAAGGTTTCAGAAACAAATGGTTAAGTTAATAAATGTTATAAAACTAAGTATTTCATATAAATTACGGAAAAATGATTTCTGAATTAATGGAAATGCTAAGCCTTCTTTTAAAGACTAACAGTCAAAAATGACCACAAATAAAAAGAGAACCAGTGATTTTATTACTGTATTTAAACAAAAGTTGACCTCAAACCCGATGTATGAGAGCCTATGCTAGAGAAAGGTGAAATAATGTCATTTGCAAGAGCTCAACAAATGCCCATCTAATGGAAAAGCTCACTTACACATACCCAGATCAGAAAGTAAGTGGATGGGCCAGGAAATAACAATTTAATAAAGTCCAAGCAACATAAAACGGCAGCCACAATATGGCAACCATACGGTTCCAGCAAAAACACTACGTAATCATTAGACTGTCTCTAAAAAATTCTCTCTACCAATTTACAAGAAATACAGAGGATGTGTTACTCCACTGGGATGCAATCAGCAAAATCCAGACTGTAAAAAACTCTACGGGACAAATAACCGAGTTTCTTCACAAACAAAATTTAAGGAAAAAGAAGAGGTAAAGAAAAAAGGAACTAATGCAGTGTGCTTCACAAATCATGGCACATATTTCCCAAATTCTACCAGCACCAGCATGAGTTGTGCCAAAGATCTAGATTCTTGCATGTGACTTCCCGTGTGACCAATAGTCTAATTACAAACAACTGATGGTATAATGTAGCTGATGATCAAGGAAGAAAGACAACTAACCCTTAGATATGCTCTCCTGTATCCTTTTCAGAGTGATTGTATGAATTGAGCACAGACCAGAAAAATAATGGATTTGCCAAAGTTATGTGCCACGTCAAACCCCTTCCTTCCACATTACCTAATAGAATTACCGTAAACTATTACATGAACTATTTCTTATGTCAGTAATTACACTTAAGTTATATGTAAAATCTTAGAAAATGAGAAATACCAGAAAGTGTCAGTTGGGGTGGCTCTACACAAGCTGATATTACCCATTTTTCACAATTTTCAAAACTAATATTAACTACAAAGATACAAACGAACTAGTATAACAATTTGTTTTTATTAAACTGCTCTTTCAAAACTCCAGATAATGTAAATTTTCTCTTAAATTCAAACCACCTGCCTTTCAAACAGATACTTCTAAACCACAAACCTTTTCTAAACCACCGACCTTCAACAGAAAAGGACACATGCCACAAAAACTTTTACTATAAAAGATTTAATCTATACCATAGACTAAAAATTATATACTATAAAATACCAAAGAAAAGTTTCTATTTCCGTTACTTGAAGAAATATACAGGGAGACAATCCTACTTTATGATTACAGGGCATGATATAAAAACAAAAACACAGGCTGGCGGGTTAGCTCAGTTGGTCAGAGTTCAGTGTTATAATACCAAGGTCAAGGGTTCAGATGCCTGGACAGGCTAGTAGCCAAAAAAAATTAAAAAATAAATAAAAATAAAAACGTGATAACAGTCTCAGTTGATCTTAATTAAATACAGCCACATTTTGTTTTCTTTCAATGCTGGATCAGTTCAATCAGCCTAGTATTTAAAAATGAATCAGAAATGACAACTAAATGATATGTGACCCTTAAAATAAAACCTTCACTGGAGAGGAAAAGAACATGCTATAAAAAAGGGACATTGTGGGCTGGCTGGTTAGCTTAGTTGGTTAGAGCGTGGTGCTGATAACACCAAGATCCAGGATTTAACTTCTATTCTGGCCAGTAACCAAAAAAAAGGGGGGGGGGGATGAATCAGAAATGACAACTAAATGATATGTGACCCTTAAAATAAAACCTTCACTGGAGAGGAAAAGAACATGCTATAAAAAAGGGACATTGTGGGCTGGCTGGTTAGCTTAGTTGGTTAGAGCGTGGTGCTGATAACACCAAGATCCAGGATTTAACTTCTATTCTGGCCAGTAACCAAAAAAAAAAAGGGGGGGGGGGGGACACATTGTTGGGGCATCTGACAAAATTGGAATACAGATAGTAAATTAAAGTTTTAAATTTAATGGTATTGTAGTTATGTAAGAGAATATCCTTATTCTTAGGAAATACACACTGAAGTATTTAGGGGTCAAGGGCCATGATGAATGTGACTTACTGCCAAATGATTCAGAAAAAAACAGTTACAGGTAGAGACATGTAAAGACAACAAATGGGGCAAATCTTCAATAAGTGTAACTAGACAGATGTCATATGGGTGTTTGGGGTGCTATTCTTATAGTTTTTAAGTAAGTTTAAAATTACTGCTAAATAAAAAGTTTTAAAAAAATCATTTTGTCTTCAGAATAAATGCAATAAAAACAAATGTTGGGAAATATTTCTGTATAATAACCAACATTTATGTGCCAGGCAATGGACTAGGTACTATATATATGTATATAAAAATCTCATTTAATCCTCAATAAGTACTACTATAATCCTCATTTTACCAATGTAAAAGTGAGACAGAGAAGTTAAGTAACTTGTCGTAGAGCTGATATTTTAACTCATGAAGCCTGATTATAGAATCCACATTCTTACCATAAACTATATTGTCTGTATAATAAAAGGAATTACAAATGAACTCTATAATTTCCTTCTTGGTTCAATTAGGTTACCTCTATAATCATGTTTTTATACTTCAACATGGTAGAAACATTTTTCTTTTCTTTCCAATGTTGACAGTAATGTTTATAATTAAATTAACTATTAAAAAAAACTGTATATGGTTAAAAAGAGTAAATGTTTCTCTATATACTGTACATGAAAATGTGTTACCTAATGATTTCTCTTGAGGTTTCACTAATACTTTATTTTCAGTCAAGCCTTTATATTTAACCATGTTTCCTTTTTCTAAACGTCACTGGATAGGATTTCTCTGAATTCCTCACTGCTACTAACATATTTTTTGGATTTCTAAACAAGCTATCTGAAATTTTTCCAACTCTTAAAGCCCGAGGAAGTAAGCCTGATGAAGAATATGCCCCATTCCCAAAACCCAGAAACTTCAATTAATGGAAAATTACTTCTAGAAAGTTCAACTCCCAACTAAGGATACTGGTCATAGGATCTAAGAAGCCCCCAAAAACAAATGAAAAATTCTGCATTACCTCTTCTTTAATTTCTTCTTTTTCTTGGACTAGTGGTTTTGGTTCAGGCTTAACTGGTTCCAAAGGTGGAAGGTAGTTCTTAGTATAGAGACTTTCAAATAGTTTGTCCACAAAACCTGAAGTTTCTAAGGAAAAGAAATAAAACTTAAGTGTTGCACAAACAAAAGACAGAAGTCTGACAACACATTGTTAACAAAGCTCAGGAAAACAGGATATCTTATACATTGCTAGTGGACCTAAAAACACGTCCTACCTTATGGAAGAGAATCCCACTTTCAAGTTTTTAAATCCTTCTTACATACTTGCACATGTGCAAAATCATATATACGTAAGATTATCTGTTGGAATATGTAACAGCAAAAGATTGGGAAACAACTCAAATTTCCAAAAATGAGAGACTAAATAAACAAATTATGGGACAATAATACAACAGAATACATAGCAGCTGTATAAAGAACTATTATCCATAATATTGGATCTAAAAGACATAGGACTAAATATTTGTATGTATTTATATCTGCATAAAGAAACTGAAAGGACACAAAATCTGACAAAATTGTGTACCGCAGGTGGGAAAGGGACAGATATAAACAGGTAAGAGAGACTTTTCATGGTATACCTTTATATTGTTGGACTAAAGACACTGCTCACTCCAAAAATTTAATTAAAAATATTTTTAAATCAATTGAAAAGAATATTGGCATGAGAATGATATGAAAGTACCTTTCTGTGTTTTACTTAAAGGCTGCTCTATTTTAAAACTTTTTCAGACTAACTGAATAAACCAGATAAATTTACTGAAAGTATAAATGTCAAAATATTTATTTTGTCTTATTAAAACCAAATTTAAATAACTTTCATTGGTCCTACCCTAAACACTGCTAAAGAGCACATTAAAAGCACATTAAAAGCACAGTACAGGCAATTATTACGTTTTACATAAAAAGCTATTTCTAAAATGTCTATTTTTTTCTTCAGAAAAGGATCTTCTCAACTTTACACTATTAATTTGTGTGGTAATCATTTTTCCATGATTATCAAACTGTTAACTCTTATTAACTGTTATATATAATAATCTTAAAACAAATAAATTAATCAGACCCTTCAAAAGCCTTTATAATTAGAAGACTTTCTTCATATGCTTCTGTATTTAAAAAAATTTTTTACATGTATTACCTGTGTATTTTGAAACACATAATAGCTCAATAAAAAAGCAAAGATAAACATTAAACAATATTCAAGAATACTATTATTAGGTTATAAAAAAATACAGATGTTCATTGAATACCACTTTAATATGTAATACAAACAGATATAAGTCTACAGCTGCAATGTCCAATAGACTAGCCATTAGCCACATGTGGCAGATTAAATTAATTGAAATTAAATTTTAAGATCAGTTTCTCGCCATATTAACCACACTTTAAGTGCTCAGTAGCCCGATGTGGATAATAGCTACTGAATTGGAAAGTATAGATATAGACCACATTCATCACTGCACAAAGTTCTATTGGATAGTGCTACACAAGGAGACATAGTTACAAAGCAGATAACATACACAAGCAGATAACACTGATTTTATCTCTAGTGGCAAATTTATGGCTATTTATTTTCTTCTTTTTAAAATGTATTTTATAGTTCTTCCTCATGTATATTGATTTAGAAATGCAAAAAAATTACTAAAAACCTTTACATCATTTTATAACAAGGAATTCTTAGATGTCTAAACTTACATTTGCCTCTTATCCCAAATATCTTTACTATGTTTTTCTTTTTTCATGGCTCTACATTTCACATGACTCATCTTCATGTTTAATGTAAATTAAGTCACGTAAATTAATAACACTTAGGTAAAAAAAACCCCACTCATCTGTACTAAGGAGGAATTCTGTAATAGTTTTGGTTTTTGTTTTTGTCTACAAAAAAGCCCTAAAATGCATGAAAAATATGTAATCCTGTGTTTCAGGCTGAGCAGCCATATTTACTATCTTTTCTTTCTTAATGTATATTTGAAGTAAAGAGTATCTTCTCATCACCAATAGCTAGATCAACTGATAAATGTGTGTCATCAACTGATAAATGTGTGTCATTCACATTCCTGTTCATCCATTCAATAATATTTATTGAACATATTCTACGTACCAAACACTGAAGGCTCCAAGTCTCCACTTTCAACAAAAGGAAGGACAAACAAGGGAGAGATAAACAGGCAAATAAACATATGACAGGGAGTGACAAGTGTCATGAAAAAAATAAAGCAGGGTTGGAAAGAGGAGAGAATGACTGGGGACAAGTACTATATTATGTATAGAGCACTCAGGGGAAACTGTTTTGAAAAGATGACATTTGAAAAGAAACCAGAAAGATGTAAGGGAGGAATTCATGTGCCAGGCAAGGATAAAATGAGTTCAAAGGGCCTGAGTTGGGAACACATTTGCCATATTTAAAAAACAGTAAGGTGATCAATGTGGCTAGAGTGGAACAATTGAGGGGGAGTGGTAAGATATGCAGTCAGAGGGGCAGCAGGGGAAACCTCATGGAAGCTCTGCAGAACATGGAAAAGTCTTTGGTAAGAGGATGGGAAGTTAAAGGCACAAAGAGAAGAGGATCATGCCCATCTCTTCTTGGATATCAAGAAGTTCCAGCCAAGAGAGAAAAAAACACAGATGGGTTCCTTGTCTTAAAAATTAACAGCAAGATTAAGCAGCTTCATTATCCTTAAACTGTTACATCCTCAACCATCAACTAGGCTCTGTCCAAAGCTACAAAGTACCCAACCACCACCTAAAAAGCATTAGAGCTGCCACTGCCTCAATGTAGAAAAGAAGCAAAGAAGGAAAGGAAAAACACAGTTCTACCAGAACACATGATAAATAATTAGGCGTGAATGGGTATATTCAAGTATTCAAAGGACCCTAACCACTTTCTTCCCTATCAAGCTTATATCTTCAAGACTTTTCAGGAATTTTTAAATTCAAAATCTTTATCTAAATACTTGGTTGAGGCCCATAATAATTACCTTTTTGTAAAAAGACATCAAGTTGATCAGCACAAAAGGCTTTCAATTCTTTCTCAGGTTTGTCCTTCTTCACCAGTGCTACAACATAGTTGGCTAAGGCTGAAGGATCAGCATCACATCTAGTCAGACAAAGAGAAAACAAAAATTTAAAAACATATCTTTTTCAAACAATGGTGTCATTAATAAAGTCCAGCCCTATTTTGGAAAACCAAAGATCAAAAGCTTTACTTTAAAAAGTGACTGCAAACAAAGGCAACTATTATAATAAACAGCAGGTACTCATACATACTGTTTAAGTGAGATTTTCCCGTTCTGCTTATTTCTGTAAAATACCTAATTTAGCTCCTATTTTTGAGGTTCTAATTACACCAAGAATCTTGGATCAGGTCTACATTCATTTGCTCTCTCAATGTTAATACAGGAAAAGAGTGGCAACTGACTCTTAAGTTGCTATTTGGCTCCCAGTCTATGGAAGCACTGTCGATAACACCCTCAGAAACTTTATGTTCCATGCGACCAATGAGGAAAATGCAGGGGAAGTGGTGGGATAGCATTCTCCTCTCCTCAAGGCACCACTCCCTACAACCGCTGGCAACAGTATCCAAAAATGGCTATGAATTCCACTACCAATCTTCTCAATGAGTAGCTTGAAGATCTTTTTAAAAGGTGAGAACACAAAAAGGATGGCACCGTAAATACTACTGGCAAACACTTTAGCATCTATAAGCAAGAAAGAAAAGATGTAGAGGTTAGAAACAGAAAGGAGAAGAGAAGTGATAGAAGGGCAACATAGATGACCTTTATCTACTTCACACTTTTTCTTGTCAGTAGTAACCTTTGACACTCAAAATTTTCTCCTATGCCAGGGCAGCATGTGATCCTTGGGTTGCCAACTCCTGATGCATAACAATTTGTCAGACTTACTGTTTTATCTACAACACATTAAACTAAAAGTTTTCATGTTGTAAACAGATATAACATATATGTATATATAATATTCTAAATTTCTCCATAAATGCATATTTAAATAATACATATCCTTTGTGGTTCCATAGGGTTGAGAAGGTAAAATGAAAAAATTCAAGGTGACAGTAAATAAAATGATTATGCAAGCAAAGTGATCATTTCCCTATAAAACACTATTCAAACCTAACTAATCTTGTTCTATAATCCTTCCATCTCCACTGGCAGCTAGAAAGTTAAAAAGTGTCAGCTCAAGTGTATCAATCACATTTTCAAAAATTTTATGAGCTTAGTAAACAAAAGAAAAACCAAGCACCAGCACCCTTCCTTTCTTCTAGTTTCTGTTTTTAAAGTTCATAATTCAATAAAACAGCAGAACTTTTTTCATTGCCAATATTAACACTGTCACGGAAAAGGCTGGTTCTTTAAACATCTGCACACCAAATTCTTTTTTTTTTTTTTCCTTTTTGTCTTTTTTCGTGACCGGCAACGGATCACAACCCTCAGTGTCGCACCCACACCGGACCGGGACCAGCAACGGGATCGCAACCCTTGGTGCTGCGCCCACACCTCGCTCAGCCAGTGAGCGGCTGGTCTGTACGTGGGATCCGAACCCTCGGCGGGAGCGCCGCCAGGCTCCCAAACGGCTCACTGTAGCAATGCACCACCGGGCCGGCCTAAGACAGTAAATTTTAAGTGCCCAAACCACACACACACACAAAGGTAACTATGTGAGGAGATGGATATGTCAATTAGTTTGTAGTCATCATTTCACAATGTGTGTGTGAATATATATATTAAGAAATCACATTGTAGAGCTGGCCCCATGGCTCACTCGGGAGCGTGCGGTGCTGATAGCGCCGAAGCCGCGGGTCCGGATCCTATATAGGGATGGCCGGTGCACTCACTGGCTGAGCGTGGTGCAGAGAACACCAAGCCAAGGGTTGCGATCCCCTTACCGGTAAAAAAAAAAATCACATTGTATTGCACACCTTAGTATATAGAATTTTTATTAAGAAAATAAAAATTTAAATTAAAAATAAAAAGCAAAAACGTAAATATATGTAGCATTTCCATCTTTAAAAAACCTTACACATGGGCCGAGCCCGTGGCGCACTCGGGAGAGTGCGGCGCTGGGAGCGCAGCAGCACAGAATTTTTATTAAGAAAATAAAAATTTAAATTAAAAATAAAAAGCAAAAACGTAAATATATGTAGCATTTCCATCTTTAAAAAATCTTACACATGGGCCGAGCCCGTGGCGCACTCGGGAGAGTGCGGCGCTGGGAGCGCAGCAGCGCTCCCGCCGTGGTTTCAGATCCTATATAAGGATGGCCGGTCCAGTGCGCTCACTGGCTGAGCACAGTGCGGGCCGTCACAAAAAGGAAAAAAAAATCTTACACATACCATGCTCAACTTAGCTATTCTATAAATACCTTAAAATAAAGATGTGTAGGTAGACCTAATTTTACCTGAGACCAATAAGATATTTGACCAGAGAGAGGGAAAAAAAAATCAAATTTTTACCTTTACTTAGAAAATTCAGATCCTGAATAAGGACATTCTAACATAGAAGAAAAGGATTTAGAAAAATAAATAAGAATGGCAAAAAATGGCAATGTTATTTTCTCGTGTCACCAGAACTTTCAAGGAATCTCATGACCTGACAGGTACAATGCTGGGTAGGTAAGGACGTGAAGGTTTCTAGTGGGAAACAGGCAACACAGGGCTTAACAAACCCAGATATCTTTCACACATATTCAGTATTCAGACTCTAAAAATAAATGTAGACTTAGGCTGCTTCTGTTGAAATACACATTGATGTGATGGTGTTAAAAATCAAGAGGAAGAATTATGGGAAGGTAAAAGAGTAGAAAAAGACTAGACTTCAGGAAAAAGAGAACGATCATAGATTCTAAACAGTTGTTCAATGCGAGTGATTGAATGACTATCAGTAACTGAATTCTGCACCAAGTACAAAAGCACGTGTACAGTCAAAGGAACAGTACCATTTAAATTTAACAGCTCCTAAGATGTATCCATAAAGTGCACTATGAAGAAAATTACCTGTCTGAAATAATAAGTCACACTAATTGAATGGTGAAACTTAAATACATTGGGGAGTTTTGTGCTGTAATTTTCTAGACCTTTATGATTGTTCTTATTCTTTCAACACACTGATCCCTTACTGTATAACCTTTAAAAACTGCCATTACAATACTGTAGCTGTGATTAAGATGCTAACAGTAGCCAAACAAGACTTCCAGAAGTGTGTCACAAAAATCTGAGCATAACTAAAACCCTTGATAGATTACAAGACAAATGTAGGACCACCTCCCTCCCCACAAAATCATAGCTTCTTACTTTTCTTACCCAAGAAGTACCCAAGAAGAGTACTTAAAACCTTTTAGATATTTATTTGGAATTAAAGCTATGGGAATCCACTTCTGCTTGACTATAAGAACAGGCATATTTTGGAATGAAAGAGATTTTGAAATTCTGGATCCATGTCTATGTTAAATATAGATGTTTCTAGACAAGAAGGGAATTTTACTATAACAAAGAGTTTAGAAAAAGTAATAACACCCATTTTAAATTACTATTCTACTACAGTGTCAACTAAATTTGTAAAGACAAATCCGCTCAAGATCAGGCAGACAGCATACTTGTGGAACTAAAACTCAGCTGTAATTTCACACAAAATTTATTTCACAGCACATACATTTTTCTAATGTATATCTGCACAACAAATTAATGTATCCTAAGTCTTAACTAACAGCTACCTTTTGGTTAAAATGAAGAATCAACAACAACAAAAAATTCCTAAAGCTTAATGTAAGTTATAACTATGGACTCCTTAAAATTCACATCTTTCAAAATAATGTTATTAAGAACATGCTTCAATTATCTTTTAAAGTTATTTAAAAATCAATTAAGAATGATTTTTTTATTAGGGAGAGCTAACAGAAATGTTGCACTAAATATGCCTATCTATAAAAACCTTAACTTTGTCTTTTTCCTCTTTTAACAAAATCTCCATTGAAGATATATTACACATTTGCTGAGCTGACATATCAGCTTTACAGAAGGTTTCAGACATATACTCAATCCCCAGATCAAAAAGTAAAGGTCCTACTTTTGGCCCCACGCCAAAAAACACTACTAAAAACCCATTACAGTCTATTTGTTTTATGAAAAAAGCCAAAACTACTAGACCTTTTCCACTTTGAAAAAAATTTACATGTTTCTGAATATGGGCCTAATTTTAAGTTCTAACTTAGTTTGATCTTTGTTTCAGAGGTGAGACAACTAATGAATGTGCTATTGAGTCACAGGGAAAAAATCTCCTGATCCTAATGTGTATGAACCACCATTAAAAATGTTCATATTCTTTGACCAGTAGTTACACTTACGGGCAACTAGACTGAAGAAATAAAGGCAAATATAGAAAATATTACTAGCACCTAGAGACATTAAAAATATATATGTTTATTGTATAAAAACTGCATTACTTTTAACAGAAAAAGTAGAGTCAAGTTGACCATTCTCTTATTGTTGGATGTTTATGAAATATTAGGAATCTCTAAAGTGATGGTTATAAGTGCAATATACAAATATGAAAAATGCATTTGATGTAATGTGCTGTGGTTTGAATGTTCCTGCAAAGCTCATGTTGAAACCTAATCCCCAATATGGTATCTGAAAGTTCGGAGCCTTTAAGAAGTGATTGGAACAAGAGGACTACACTCTTATGAGTGGATTAATTAATCCCTTATGAATTAATGGGTTAATAGTTTAATGGGTTATATGGGAGTGAACTGGAGGCTTTATAAAGAAGAGCAAGTAAGCATGTTAGAATGTTCTTTCTTAGTCCTTGCTATGTGATATCTCACATTATCATGCAACTCTATAGAGTCCACACCAAGAAGAAGGCCCTCACCAGATGTGCCCCTTGGGCCTTGGATTTCCCAGCCTCCAAAATTGTAAGAAATAAATTTCGTTTTCTGATAAACTACCCAGTTTCGGGTATTCTGTTATCAGCAACAAAAGAAGGCCCTCACCAGATGTGCCCCTTGGGCCTTGGATTTCCCAGCCTCCAAAATTTTAAGAAATAAATTTCGTTTTCTGATAAACTACCCAGTTTCGGGTATTCTGTT